TGAGAGAGATACAGAACCAGATTTATTTCACGATTTGAATATTTCAAACATTTACAGGCCAAAACGTGAGAAGCAGACACACATTTTCTAACATAAACATGCTGAACAATGAGGAACGCTGATGTTTCTCAAGAGAGAATGGACATTGGGTAGTGGTTGGTATAGTGTAGTGGGTAGTGGTTGGTGTAGTGTAGTGGGTACTGGTTGGTATAGTGTAGTGGGTAGTGTAGTGTGTAGTGGTTGGTGTAGTGTAGTGGGTAGTGGTTGGTATAGTGTAGTGGGTACTGGTTGGTGTAGTGTAGTGGGTAGTGGTTGGTATAGTGTAGTGGGTACTGGTTGGTGTAGTGTAGTGGGTAGTGGTTGGTGTAGTGTAGTGGGTACTGGTTGGTGTAGTGTAGTGGGTAGTGGTTGGTATTGTGTAGTGGGTACTGGTTGGTGTAGTGTAGTGGGTAGTGGTTGGTGTAGTGTAGTGGGTAGTGGTTGGTATAGTGTAGTGGGTAGTGGTTGGTATAGTGTAGTGGGTACTGGTTGGTGTAGTGTAGTGGGTAGTGGTTGGTATAGTGTAGTGGTTGGTGTAGTGGGTAGTGGTTGGTAGTGGTTGGTATAGTGTAGTGGGTAGTGGTTGGTGTAGTGTAGTGGTTGGTAGTGGTTGGTATAGTGTAGTGGGTAGTGGTTGGTGTAGTGTAGTGGTTGGTAGTGGTTGGTATAGTGTAGTGGGTAGTGGATGGTGTAGTGTAGTGGTTGGTAGTGGTTGGTATAGTGTAGTGGGTAGTGGTTGGTATAGTGTAGTGGGTAGTGGTTGGTGTAGTGTAGTGGGTAGTGGTTGGTGTAGTGTAGTGGGTAGTGGTTGGTAGTGGTTGGTATAGTGTAGTGGGTAGTGGTTGGTGTAGTGAAGTGGTTGGTATAGTGTAGTGGGTAGTGGTTGGTGTAGTGTAGTGGGTAGTGGTTGGTAGTGGTTGGTAGTGGTTGGTATAGTGTAGTGGGTAGTGGTTGGTGTAGTGTAGTGGTTGGTGTAGTGTAGTGGGTAGTGGTTGGTATAGTGTAGTGGGTACTGGTTGGTGTAGTGTAGTGGTTGGTATAGTGTAGTGGGTAGTGGTTGGTATTGTGTAGTGGGTAGTGGTTGGTGTAGTGTAGTGGGTAGTGGTTGGTATAGTGTAGTGTAGTGTAGTGGGTAGTGGTTGGTATTGTGTAGTGGGTAGTGGTTGGTGTAGTGTAGTGGGTAGTGGTTGGTAGTGGTTGGTATAGTGTAGTGGGTAGTGGTTGGTGTAGTGTAGTGGGTAGTGGTTGGTATAGTGTAGTGGGTAGTGGTTGGTATTGTGTAGTGGGTAGTGGTTGGTGTAGTGTAGTGGGTAGTGGTTGGTATAGTGTAGTGGGTAGTGGTTGGTATTGTGTAGTGGGTAGTGGTTGGTGTAGTGTAGTGGGTAGTGGTTGGTAGTGGTTGGTATAGTGTAGTGGGTACTGGTTGGTGTAGTGTAGTGGTTGGTATAGTGTAGTGGGTAGTGGTTGGTATTGTGTAGTGGGTAGTGGTTGGTGTAGTGTAGTGGTTGGTGTAGTGTAGTGGGTAGTGGTTGGTATAGTGTAGTGGGTACTGGTTGGTGTAGTGTAGTGGTTGGTATAGTGTAGTGGGTAGTGGTTGGTATTGTGTAGTGGGTAGTGGTTGGTGTAGTGTAGTGGGTAGTGGTTGGTGTAGTGTAGTGGGTAGTGGTTAGTATAGTGTAGTGGGTAGTGGTTGGTGTAGTGTAGTGGGTAGTGGTTGGTGTAGTGTAGTGGTTGGTATAGTGTAGTGGGTAGTGGTTGGTATTGTGTAGTGGGTAGTGGTTGGTGTAGTGTAGTGGGTAGTGGTTGGTATAGTGTAGTGTAGTGTAGTGGGTAGTGGTTGGTATTGTGTAGTGGGTAGTGGTTGGTGTAGTGTAGTGGGTAGTGGTTGGTAGTGGTTGGTATAGTGTAGTGGGTACTGGTTGGTGTAGTGTAGTGGTTGGTATAGTGTAGTGGGTAGTGGTTGGTATTGTGTAGTGGGTAGTGGTTGGTGTAGTGTAGTGGGTAGTGGTTGGTGTAGTGGGTAGTGGTTGGTGTAGTGTAGTGGGTAGTGGTTGGTATAGTATAGTGGGTAGTGGTTGGTGTAGTGTAGTGGGTAGTGGTTGGTGTAGTGTGTGGGTAGTGGTTGGTGTAGTGGGTAGTGGTTGGTGTAGTGTAGTGGGTAGTGGTTGGTATAGTATAGTGGGTAGTGATTGGTGTAGTGTAGTGGGTAGTGGTTGGTAGTGGTTGGTATAGTGTAGTGGGTAGTGGTTGGTGTAGTGTAGTGGGTAGTGGTTGGTGTAGTGTAGTGGGTAGTGGTTGGTAGTGGTTGGTATAGTGTAGTGGGTAGTGGTTGGTGTAGTGTAGTGGGTAGTGGTTGGTGTAGTGTAGTGGGTAGTGATTGGTGTAGTGTAGTGGGTAGTGGTTGGTATAGTGTAGTGGGTAGTGGTTGGTGTAGTGTAGTGGGTAGTGGTTGGTATAGTGGGTAGTGGTTGGTATAGTGTAGTGGGTAGTGGTTGGTATAGTGGGTAGTGGTTGGTATAGTGTAGTGGGTAGTGGTTGGTGTAGTGTAGTGGGTAGTGGTTGGTATAGTGGGTAGTGGTTGGTATAGTGTAGTGGGTAGTGGTTGGTATAGTGTAGTGGGTAGTGGTTGGTATAGTGGGTAGTGGTTGGTATAGTGTAGTGGGTAGTGGTTGGTATAGTGTAGTGGGTAGTGGTTGGTGTAGTGTAGTGGGTAGTGATTGGTGTAGTGTAGTGGGTAGTGGTTGGTATAGTGTAGTGGGTAGTGGTTGGTGTAGTGTAGTGGGTAGTGGTTGGTATAGTGTAGTGGGTACTGGTTGGTGTAGTGTAGTGGGTAGTGGTTGGTGTAGTGTAGTGGGTAGTGGTTGGTATAGTGTAGTGGGTAGTGGTTGGTATAGTGTAGTGGGTACTGGTTGGTGTAGTGTAGTGGGTAGTGGTTGGTGTAGTGTAGTGGGTACTGGTTGGTGTAGTGTAGTGGGTAGTGGTTGGTGTAGTGTAGTGGGTAGTGGTTGGTATAGTGTAGTGGGTACTGGTTGGTGTAGTGTAGTGGGTAGTGGTTGGTGTAGTGTAGTGGGTAGTGGTTGGTATAGTGTAGTGACAGAACAGCAGACGTCCCCTTATATTAACATGTAACGTACATAACATTAATTAAATGTGCTGCATTTCCCCCAAAGCAATGTCTATATTACCACTGCAGTATTACACAGTAACTACATAATAACTACACAGGAATTGTCCACTTATTTTAAAGTGTAACTTCAACACTGCACTACAGGAACATCCCTGTGTAGTTGTTATGTAGGTACAGTGTAATTACAGAATGGTATTAATCAATGTGATGTGATTAGGTCACCTTGTTTACAAACAGTTATGTACATAAATGTAATGTTATGTAAAACATACTTCCTTTAATGGCTGAAAAAGACTTCTAATCTGTAGTGTATCAAAAAAATACAATTGTGTAATTACACGAGGCAAAACTGAAGTTGATACACGTGTAGTAACACAGGCTGCACTTCTGTAATCCATCTGTAACACTGACTGAGTCATCAGTAGTTACAGTGTTGTTGCATACGCTGTTCATGTGTAACTACACATTTATTAGAGACACTTAATATAAAGTGGGACCCCATTTGCATTAAATGGTTCTTCAGACTGATGGAGAATGTGTTGTAAATGGTTCTACAAAGCACCAGAAAGGGTTTTTCTATTGTATACAAGCTTGACAGCATAACAGTAGAAGAACCCTTTTCAGTGCTATAGAGACCTAATTTCAAAAAGATTCTATATAGAACCATCTACAACACATTCTCCATCAATCTGAAGAACCATTTTACTATGCAAAGAACCCTTTAAGCATGCAAATGGTCCTTTGGGTGCTCGTGGTTCTTATATAGAACCACTGTTTTTAGTAAAGAACCCTTAAATAACCATATTTTTTAGGAGTGAAGGAACCTCATTTTATATAAGACCTTCATGATTTAAGGTCATCGTTTATGGTTTTATGAGTTACTGTACTTAAGTAGTTTTTAATGTATCTATACTTTACTGAAGTTTTTCCATTCTGGGCGACTTTTTCCTTTCACTCCACTACATTATGAGAAATCTGTCGTTCCTTTTGGTTTATGACCTGTTGGTCATACCGACCCAGTGCAGCACACGGTTCACCGTCAGTGCAGCAGTGTAAAATTCTGGGAGAGTCTATTCAACATAAATGATGAACTAACCTAACTTTGTGTAAACAGACCACAATATAGAAATATGTACTCATATGCAGTTGTGACTGACGTGTCTTTATTCTGAATTTATACAAACACATTTCATTTTATAGTAAATTCATTTTTGGCTAGTTTATGTTTATGAACAGAGACCTACAGATGCAGTTTAGTAAAGGAAACTCATTTGTGAATCTGAGTTTAAAGTTTTTATTAAACTTAAACTTGTAACTGAGTTCAAATAAATCTTAAACTGAAACTTTGCTTGTTTGTAAAGTGATTTCAGAGCCACTCAGTTCTACCTGATGGAAACTGTTTGCCTTCAGTGTTTTGTGCTTATGATAATTTTAATAGACATCAGCGTCACTAATTAATGACATTCTATTAAAAGACTGGTTTACCAAGAGAGACACTGGAGTATTTTCACCTACAATGAGTTAATGAAGCGAGTCTTGTTACAAAAATGATAACAGGACATTAAAGTCATAATTAATCTTTTAGTACTTTACAGTCATGTTTACAGTCATGTTTACAGTCATGTTTACAGTCATATTTACAGTCATGTTTACAGTCATGTTTATAATGACAGCGCTGTGATTAAGCGGTGTGTTGTATAATAGCCCATCATGTAGGCCAGGCTAACTGAGGAACTGGGGCTAAGGTCACAGAGGGCGGGCCCACGAAGCACGTGATCTAATCCTTGCTTGTGACCGGCTCCGAGTGCCAGCACGTGGCCACGTGACACAAATCCTCGTCTGTGATTGGCTGCGCGCTCGGAGCGTTCAGTAGGGCAAGAGACGCCGAAGGACTCGAGGCTGGACGGAACCAGGAACGGTAAACATGCTGATTTTCAGAAAGGTAGCTATAAAACCGCTTCTTTATGCTCCTAAAACTCTTCAAACGGGGCGGTTTTGCGCTTGATTTAACCGCAGATGAGAAACAGCACCTCTGCTCGAATGTTACCCGCTTATTCCGATTTTCCGTTCCACCTTAAATGGTGCAGCAGTAACTGCTGCGCCATTTAAGGTGGAACGGAAACGCTTTGTTGTTGGCTGCGTAGATTAAACGCTTAATTCAGCAATTAAAAGCGTTTAAAGTGTAATTAAGTGGTTTGGTGTGGTTCCCAGCAGTAAAGCGGGCTGAGTTAGACCCACGGTGCAGTAGAAGTGACCCTGACCTCTCCTCCTGTTTGACATGCTCGACTTTGGGCTAAAGCTATTTTTATTATCTATATTTATATTTAAATGGATATTATTTTATCATTAATTCCTGATTAATGTACTCGTGCATAGTTTTGATTTGCATATGCATGCATGTGCAGAAGCTCGTGCATATGGAAAATGTCAATAAAATGCAGTTATAATGGGAATGTTTACATGTTTTGAGCTTTCAGGCTCATCACTGGATCACTGGATCTCAGCCCCAACACTGTAGCCCACATGCAAAACATATATTAGTGACCAGGCTGGGCTCTAGCAGCCCTAAGCAGGGTTTTTGGGGGGTCTGCCATCTGCCAAGGCACTCCCCCAGACCTCTATACTGCATCTTCTACACAGTTTAAAGCTTTTATTTTGAATTATCAGTGTTATTTGATGACTTATTTGGTGTGTGATATTAGTGTTTTGGCTGTCTATTCATTTAAATACTCTCGAATTAATTTTGTTATTAATTCTGTTTATGTTGGATTAAAGAGTTTTTGAATTATGTGTGTAAAAGGGCCAGTCATAACGTAATCCACACATTTATATGTATAAATATTATGGCTGGACCCAAAGATTTGACTTTGGATATTAGTTCATTGATTACTGCCGACGCTCCGGAGCCCAAAAGATGGTATCCGGTACAGCCCTAACAAATATACATCAAAAATTTAAATTATAGTCTTAAATAAGCATTCTTAAGTTACTAGTTCTAGCTTATGTACTGTAAAATTAGAGGCTAATAACAATAACTATCACAAGTGGTGTAAATTATGTTTAAAAAAAGAAGAAACTAGCAATTTTGTGTATTGCTGATAATTGGATGCTAATGAATGCCTATTTAATTTAATTACACAAGTAACGGTTACAGTTTAATTACAGAAAACCATCTCAGCACTTTCTGTCTAGATTGACTGCTTATGTTTACTGACAAACAAAAAAAAAGAAATATTGTTAACTCCTCAAAATGAAACCAAAACACACCTTTATCGTTTATCTACACATCAGTTGCTGTTTTCCCTCATTCCAGCATAATAGTAACTTGAAATAATTACCTAGATGTTTTTTGGGGACCTCTGGTAGCCACAGAGCCCTAAGCTGCTGCTTATGTCGCTTATTAGGTAGAGCCGGCTCTGTTAGTGACCTTAGTGATCTTAAATCTATTGTATTGCCTCTTATATTACAATATTATGCTGACTGCAATGTAAGACATGATAAAAAACAAGATGCTTCTGAATCCTTGTGTTCTTCTACATACATTCTGATGTTTTGGGTGCAGGTCTTGCGGGCAGGTGTTCAGACAGGTCTGAGGTTTCAGAGCAGAGGAGCTGCAACAGGAGCTCAAGCGGCCAGCGCAGCCAAAGCATCCCATGGAGGAATCTCTTTTGGTATGTTTACCGCACAGCACAAAAGGATCCCTGACCCTGCGGCCCACCTCTTAAGTCCACACTTTGGTGACAACAGTGTCCAGATCTGTAGTGCAAGAAACCTTGAGGGTGCATGGTTTAAACGCATCATACAGGATGAGATCTATATGATGTCCATGCTCTGTGTGTGTTGTGTCTGTTGTATTTATCTTAGTCGATATATTTTTAGCTAATTAGCTTATCTACAGTGACTCAGTTCAGGTTACAAGCACAGTGCAAACTCATGCTGGTTAGAGCTGTAAACAAAGTCATCACTGTAGCTGGTCCTTGTGTGTATCTCAGTAAATTTGGGGTCTTAGGTTATGGTGGGTGTTGTGCAATAGGGCCACAACAAACGACTAATCTGATAGTCGAATAATCCATCGATTACTGAAACGAATAATCGATTATTCGGATTATGAATCACTACATTTCCAAATGACACACATGTAGCTATCAGCTTTTAAATTGAGCTTTTTTTGTTTGTTTGTTTGTTTTACACATTTGCTAACTAACAAAAACAATAAGGATGAATCACTTGTTTAAAAATGTACTGTTTTTAAAGAAACTTTTCTGCTAATACAAAATATAACCAAAACTCCAATATCATTTTCCTGTCAAACTGTAAAAACAAGGATGGGCAGCAAAGTAGCAGCTGTCTACACTCTGTTGCAACTAAATTCTACAATCACAGTCTTCACTGAAACGGAGGGAAGTAGCAAGCAAGCAAAGTTTATTTATATAGCGCTTTTTACAACAGGTGTTGTCACAAAGCAGCTTTACAAGGAAATCAGCATTACAGAAAGAAATCCGGGTCTGAGCCCCCATGAGCGCCGCCAGTGGCGACAGTGGCAAGGAAAAAAAAGAGAAACAGGAAGAAACCTTGAGAGGAACCAAGACTCAGAAGGGGAACCCATCCTCCTCTGGTCGACACCGGATAGTAAACATTGTTAGTACAAAAACAGGGAAAACAGGTGGAGCAATGATTAATTTGATTAGTTCATGCAGCAGCAGCAGCATCAGTGGGGTCAGGTTGTGAGGGTGAGGTTTGTGTTGTACAGCATGAAGCTCAATGGTGGTCAAGCCGGTCCAGAGGGCTGGCAGCAGTGGCACCCGATCAAGGCAGAAGAGGCAGCAGCATCAGACGCACAGGATGGGCAGCTGTTCAACTCAGCAAAGGAAAAACACACAGAGTCAGTTCTGTAATGGGTGACTGATCACAGAAGTCAGCGTCTCTCCGTGCTCCTGTGAGAGTCTCGCTCTCCTCTGAGAGCAGATACTCCCTGCTGCAGAGGAGACGCGCTCTGATGGAGCGGATGGGAAAGTGGCGAATGTTTGTGGCGAACTTCTCTATGAACAGTTAAATGAACGATTTTTTGTTAACATTTCATTTCAACGGTCACCCTTGGTCCAGCTGCCTTGTACGTACGCTGAGAACCAGCTTGTGAAACTGCTTGCGATTGGAGCCGAATTTGACCGCACCGGCGGCCTCGACTTGCTCCTCTGTTCCAAACTCCTTTAACGATTCCAGAGAGCACGCTTTTCAAAATAGATGTTGCAGCTCAGAACATGAAGTAGGACGGCTTTTAACATTAACATTAGCTAACTGGCTCGCTGGCACAGCTATCGCCGCGTCCCAAACCACACACTCCTGTACTCCACACACTACACTAATCAGTGCACTTCTAATGGTATATGCGCTATTTTTACACTGTGCTAGTATGCGGTTTGGGACGCGGCGTATCTTACTGAGATTAATCTCTTTCACCCAGTGAGCCGACGAGTTTCCTCTTTTAGATGCTCCGACATGGAGGATGTGCTCCCGTGTCAGTCAAGGTCGGCTTTACAAGCAGCGCAAAGTGCACGTATCAGACAAATGACAGAAATTCGACAAAGCTGAATGTTAACTTCTTATTTTAATTTCTTTTTCTACATAAAATATTGCAGCAGTTACATTCAGGCATCCGTGCAGGTGTCAAAACATAACTGCTACTCCATTTAATGTGGAACAAAAAATTCTAACAAGAAGCTGAAGAAGCCAAATTCAGATTTTAGGTATTCAGGCGTGAAACAACCTTCAGCACCGTGTTAGAGAAAGGTTTATCTTTATGTTGTTTAGTTTTGTTTTTACTGTTTTGCAGAATGAAGGGACATCCCAGAATAATAAGCCACTGTTTAGCCTAGTTTTACCCTTTTACCTACTGGTAAGATTTTTTAATATATCGCTGCTGTCGGAATGAAACCTCCTATCTCCAAAATAATAACTTTACACGAGAAGGAAAAAACATACTTCAGTGTAACCATTTAACATTTTTCCCAGGTAATTTTGGGCCTTTTCTTTTAGTCCATTCATCGTGGAATTTACACACAATGTAAAGGACAACAGGCATTTTTCAAATTATGAAAAACAAGATACAAGGTTTTGCTCTAACAGCAGAGATATATAACCGTGAAATATTCCAACACCATGATATTTGCCGAAAGCGCCAGAAATGAATTACACCTTGGTATAAATTTTTGGCCATACTGCTCACGCTAGTAATATCCCGCTGCTGAGTCCGCATCGCTGATGTCGTAGCCACAGGCTGCAGTAAGTGTGCATAGAGGGCGCTAGTGAGCATGAAAGCCAAAATGAGAAATGACACCCTACAGCCTTGCTGTCCTTGTCCTTGGACCAAAGCTGTGCCACCGGGCCAAGAATGCGTCAATACTGAGTCCTTGTATTTTTAAATACATAGAGATTGATCATTTTCACTGCTTGCCCACAGAACTCACTGACCAGCAGAAGGAATTCAAGGAAGTGGCCAGAAAATTTGCTCGAGAAGAGATTATTCCAGTCGCTCCGGAGTATGACCACACCGGCGAAGTGAGTTTATCAAATACTTGAATCGATATTGAATCTTTAAACGCGTTCACTTGATTTTGTATCTGTGTCTTTGTCTCGTCTCCTCTGTAGTATCCATTTCCCCTCATCCGGAGGGCGTGGGAGCTCGGCCTGATGAACTCTCACATTCCAGAGGACTATGGTGAGTTAACATGCGCTTCGGTTCTCCTATCTTTATATTATTATTATTATTATTATTATTATTATTATATATATATGAATTGCGCTCCAGCTCCTGGTGACTGATTATTTCGTCACTGTTCCAGGGGGTCTGGGTCTGTCCAGCTTCGACGCCTGCCTCATCACAGAGGAGTTGGCGTACGGGTGCACAGGAGTGCAGACGGCTATCGAGGCTAACTCTCTCGGAGTAAGTCAGAGCTGTTTAGCTGTAATGTCTGGTTCTGATTGTTTTGAGGAGGGGGGTGTGGAGGCTTTGGGTTAGGAGTGCGTTATTATGCCCAAGAGTTCATATAATAAATTATAATAAAATCACTATAGATTATGAATTACTGTGGATTGAAAAGTCACTGTAGATTGAGTTATTGAGTACTTTAGCTACTATGTTGGTGATTAATCAAGTGTTTTTTTTTAAGAAAAATGAACAAATTATACAGAGTCTTCCAAAGATTCCAGAATATTTACTGAAAAATATAAAAAGGAATCCTTTGAAAATGCTGTATAAATAAATAAAACACCACGTGGTAAATAACAGACATAAACATGTTTGTCCATCTGGCTCTGCTTCTTAAAAAGGACCAGCAGAATTTTAAAATGTGCTTTATCTGGGAATCTGCAGGTCTCAGCTTAATAAATGTAATGCATTTTAAATCAATACAGTTAATACAATGTAATGTCGAAACCAAATTGCACATAAATTACTAGGTGGAATAATATGGAGTGTAAATTTGAATTGAATTTTTTAAATCAGTAGTTCAGATTTACAGAATTACAAATTAGCCAATAAGCTGCAGTTACTTTTACCTTTTTTTCCTAAATCAAAATAAGCTAAAGGGCTCGAATTGTGGAAAAATCAGCCAGTTCTGAATTTGTTCTTTCTGTGATGTAACGTTGTTTGGTTCTAAAAAGATAAAAAAATTGGAAAATGTTCATACAACAATTAATTATGACTATTTTTGGTACATAAAACAACACAAATATAATAACTGAACTGGGGGGGGTCAGGGGGGATAAAATACGACAAAAAAGTAGGACTTGGGCCCTTTAACATCCTTTACACACTTAAAAAGATGGTTCTTTAGTAAAGAAAATGGTTCTATATGGAACCGTGAACACTCAAAGAGCCCTTTGCTTGATTAATGGGTTCTTTGCATGATGAAATCGTTCTTCAGATTAATGGAGAATGTGTTTTACATGGTTCTATGTAGAACCTTTTTGAAAAGGGTTCTATATAGCAGCAAAAGGGGTTTTTCTATTGTTACAGGCTTGGCAAGAACCCTTTTCGGCACTATATACACTTTTAAAGATGTTTCTTTGAGGGGTTTTTAGTAAAGAAATTGGTTCTATTTAGAACTATTAAAGGGTTATTCCCATCGTGAAGGGGTTCTTAAGAATGTGCTGTAGATGGTTCTATGTAGAACCTCTTTGAAAGGGGTTCTATGTAGAACCAAAAAGGGTTCTTCTATTGTTACAGGCTTGACATTGTACCAGTAGAAGACAATATGCTACAATATACATTCTTAAAAACTTCTTTAGGGACGAAAATGGTTTTATATAGAACTATTAAAGGGTTCTTTGCATCATGAAGGGTTCTTAAGAATGTGCCATAGATGGTTCTGTATAGAACCTTTTTAAAAAGGGTTTTATATAGCACCAAAAGGGGTTCTTTTATTGTTACAATGTCAAGCTTGCAACAAAGAAGAACCCTTTTCAAAAAGGGTTTATATAGAACCATCTACATCATATTATCCATCAGTCTGAAGAACCAGTTCACCATGCAAAGAACCATTTAATCATGCAAAGTGTTCTTTGAGTAAAAAACCATTGTCTTTACTAAAGAACCCTTGAAGAACCATCATTTGTAAGGATGTACAGGTGATAAACTTGCTGTAAATGTTAGTGCTCAGTGCTCGTCTCTCCTTAATAACAGCAATGAATGGCTACGACTCACTAAGCTGTGGGAATGAGATAATGGTTGTAGGTGTTACTGCTGTTTGCTGTAGTTGTCCTACAGTGAAGTTAAACCGGTGCTGCTATTTTGATCTGTGTTAATCCTGCAGAACCTAAATCTGTTCTGTGTTCTTGTGTCCCACAGCAAATGCCGGTCATCATCGCTGGTAATGAAGATCAGAAGAAGAAGTATCTGGGCAGGATGACCGAGGAGCCGCTCATGTGTGTGAGTGTTCTGTTGTTCCTTACGTGTTTTTATCTAAACATCACGGTCAGCTATGTGTGCAGTTACTGTAAATTAGGGGCAGATATTGGGTGTGTCTCAAACCTAGTGAGCTCTCTATATAGACAGCATTTTACGTCACAATATGCGCGCTCCCGACAAGAAGGCCGTCCCAATTCTTGGTTATCTCAAACATGCTGCCTACTGAGGTCTCTTATTTTGGCCCAATATCGAGAGAGCATCGGATGGTTCCTTAGCCGCTGAGGCAATCCCGCAATGCAGCGCGGCGCAACTTTTGTTTGAAGATGGTGGGCAGAAGCGCTTCGCCAAGCAGCGACGTCATCTTCAAATGTACGTTATTCTGATTTTCTGGGGTATTTATCTGTTTTCTAGTCATAAAGGAGCACAAATAGCCTATACTTTCCGAGTTTGACCACAACTATTGTCTATTTTGCTGTTTCATTCAGATCAAATACAGTTAAAATCGCTATATAAACCGCCAGAGCAGATCCATGTTGGCTAACTGTGATTCTGACGGCTGAGGTCAGTAAACGCCGGTCTCGTGCAGGGGGCGGGAACAAGCGGCGATGTCACTGCTGTCTAACTAGAGCGTCTCATTTATCTGCCTTATAAGGATAGATGACGGTTGGAACGCTGCCTACTTAGACAGATGCCTATGTAGACAGCGGCTACTTAGAGAGCTCACTAGGTTTTGAGACACACCCATTGTTACTCAGTTCAGTTCAACAGCATTTACTTTAGGAGTGTTCAGTGTGACGGTACGTCACTGTGATAAATAAGGTCACTATATGTTTTTCTGAGTGTATTGTGGATTTTGGCAGTACTTAAAGAACACAGACTGCTTGTTTCATTGCGGAGAGCAGAATTATTTCTGTTTAATTGGATTTAGTGCAGAACAGTGTGTGAAATGTCTAATAGAAATATTTATATTCACAGTTTATTATGCTATTATTTTCAAATGTTTTTGTCTATTTTGACTCAAACCTCAGAAATGTGAAATATCGTGATGCGCATCGTGCATGGGGACGAAATGATGTGATGTACTGTGATAAATTATGTATGTTTTTCTGAGGATGCTGTCTGGTCAGTACGTCTAGAACACTAAACAGCTGCATGGACTGTAAAAAATACAGATACAGACCAATTATAGAGCCTGTAAACAACAACAGCAACCAGATTGGATGACATTATGACATGATGTTATTTTATTCAAATATATTTTTAGTGGTATTTTTTTCTCCTGTTCTTTATTAATAGTCTGTTTTTAATGTGCTTCTACTGTTTTGCTGGTCTTAGTCTGTGTTCAGACTGCAGGCAAATCGGATTTGTTTCTTTAGTCAGATCTTTCTGAGACGACTGTCCGCAAGTGATCCGATCAGATTTGTGTGTCCAGACATCATCTGGATGGGTTTCCGTGGTAACAACGTAGGCGCCAGTATCTACGTAGCTACGCTGGTGATGTGGATTTCAAACGCGGATGCAGGAGAGATGGAGGAGCATCATCTCGCCCTCCAATCTCTTCAGAACTCTCTTCATGATCATGCGTCTTTGGAGCTTCGACATCGCCGTTGTTTGTTACGTTGCGAGTGACGCAAAAGACACTTTGAAATCTGATTTTGATGTCCAGACTGAGACGCATCTGTAGAAATCTAATTGGAATCAAATTTCAAGCCACCTTTAAGTGTAGTTTAGACCTGATTTGCTCTCCAGACTATGAAAAATCAATCTGGATACAATCTGGATCTGCCAAAAATCGGATTTCATGTGAGTTTTAGCTGTCCAGAATATTGAAAAACAGTCTGAATACAATCTGGATATGCAGAAATCGGATTTGGGCTGTTATTTGGATTTGGGCCTTAATCACAAACCTCTCAAGAACAAAATGTTGTGATACATGTGGGGGAAATGTGTGGTAAGTGTGGTCATATTTATGCCACGTCGCCCGCTGTGAGTACATAACGGATATCTGGTTTGGTGTGTAACGTGTGATGCAGGCCTACTGTGTGACGGAGCCCGGCGCAGGCTCAGACGTGGCTGGAGTAAAGACTCGTGCTGTGAAGAAAGGAGACGAATACATCATCAACGGCCAGAAAATGTGGATCACCAACGGAGGGAAAGCTAACTGGTTCGTTTACTCTTTAATTTTGGTTTTATCTGAGCTCACACTGCATGTTTATTCATGCTTATTCATTGATCAGCTTTAGGCTCCCTGTTAGAGTAATATTGCAACATGATGTGGGTCAAACCGAAATGAGGGGAGAACTGAGGCTGGGTAGCCTATCCACCCAAACCAAAACACAATTCATCACACATTTCCACAAAAAACAACAAAATCTAAGATAAATTTGTCCACATCTCAACAGACGTGCGTCTTGACAGCTTTACATTTTGCATCAAACCCAAGCACAGTGTACGGCATCGCGATATGATCGTGGTGCTACCAGACAACAATCTCGCTTAGCTAGTAGCTAACGAAAAGAGAGAGATTTAAGATGAACATCGATAATTTGGAGATGAATGGACTTATTAGTGTTTATAGTCACTCCAGCTTGTTTCCTGATACATTTAATCTGCAGCAAGAAACTGTCACTAAAAAGTCGCACAGCTGAAGTTGCTGCTCGTTCGTCAGCTTCTTGTTCAAATATTCCCGTTCTGCCTTAAATGGTGCAGCAGTTACATTCTGGCACCTCAGGCACCATTTAAGGTGGAACAGGGAAATTCGAACAAGAAGCTGGCGAATGAGAAGCGACTTCAGCCTCATAAAAAGTCGAACATTGAGAGACATTTTACAAGAAACCGTTCTACTCTTAAAGAAAAGTTTCCTGCTGGAGACGTGAGAAAAGCGGCTATAGCTGAGCTAAAGCTTAAAGCAGAGCAAAGTGAGTCTGTGTTTTTATTTATATTATATTTTTAGCCTGTACTGGTACATCAGCACATACTGAGACAAGGAAGGCGACACTACTCTGCTGTGACCACGAGAGGGCGCACTTCAGAGTTTTTGACATGATTAGAGAGGGAGAAATATACTTTAGCAACGTCTGAAACGTGGAGTTATATATTCCCTGTTTGAGTGGAGCGACCGGCGATCTGTTCTCCTGTGACCAATGAGGTCAGTGGTGCAACTGTACTGCCCTACAGTGAACTCACCTCTTTCCTAACATCCTAACCAGCTTTAGCAGCGTGAAAACACATCTGGTCCTCTCAGCTACAGCACTGTTACAGCGCTCAGTCAGTCATATTTTAGTATTAGTGCATTCCCAAACAACGAAAGTGAAAGAAAGAAGTGGGTTCATGCAGTTACAGCCCGATTTAAACGAGAGTAAACTGAGGAAGCTGTATGTCTGTGTGGCACTGGAAAGCAGGAGAACCCCTAATAGAGTGGGAGAGTTGGTTGACCACTGCTTTAAACTATTAGGGGTCATTTGGCCTCTGATATAAACTTTTATGTTTGTGTTTCAGGTATTTCTTGCTGGCCCGCACAGACCCCGACCCCAAATGCCCAGCCAGCAAAGCGTTCACAGGCTTCGTCGTAGAGGCGGACACTCCGGGAGTTCAGCCCGGCAGGAAGGCAAGAACCTTTCAGCCACTGAGAACACAGCCTGATTAATGCTGTGATGGCATTTCTAGATGACGCTGCCATGTACTGCTCTTGTTCTGTCCACAGGAAATGAACATGGGTCAGAAGTGCTCAGACACACGTGGAATCACCTTCGAGGACGTGAGAATCCCCAAAGAGAACGTCCTGCTCGGAGAGGGAGCGGGATTTAAGATCGCCATGGGGGCTTTCGACAAGACTAGACCTCCGGTAAGAGTTTTCTCCTCTCTTAAAGTTAAGATTCTGCACAAATCTAAATGATTACCCAGATGTACTCGACCAGGCAAGACGTGTTCGGTGTCTGAAGTTTGCTTCTTTAGTTTTAGCGCTGGAGCTACGAGGCTAATGTAGCCGGTAATGGAACCTTATACCCTGCAAATAAACATGATGCTAACTGCAATCCTTAAGCCATGACACATTTGCTTCAAACTACATCAGATACTCTCAGATAGACTTGCTTAATGGTTTCTGGGAACTAAAATAGTACATGTTTCTAATTTTTAGCTTATTTCTATTGACTAGTATCATCCTGTTGTGGCTCTACAAATAATGTCACACTCTTAACTCAATGTTAAGTTTTAGTTAGAAGCAAAAGGTTTAAATTCTGGAAACACCTAATAGAAAATTATCCAAACAGAATTTTTTTTCTCTGTGGTATCTGGGTAGATACAGCCAAGCGAGCTCTCCCATTGGTTAGGACTTAAGGAGCTGGACTGTATACATATATCAGTGACTGTGAATACGAGCTGTAGTCTAAGCAGTGTTCTGGTTGGTTGTTAGGAATGGAAAACGGTGGCGGCAGCTCTGTGTAACGACTCTCTACTGAAAGAGCTACTGTAAAACTGATGCATTCAAGCATATCGCTGTTGTCAGGAGAAAACCTTGTATCTCCATTTTTGTCGTTTTTCAGTTTTTGACATAATTTGAAAATTCCCGTTGTCCTTTACACTGTGTGTAAATTTCATGAAGAATGGACCAAAAGAAACGGCCCAAAATGACTTGGAAAAAATTCTGGTTCCATTGACTTACGTTAAAAGTAAAGTAGGTTTTTTCCTTTTCCTGTAAAGTTACCATTTTGGAGATACGAGGTTTTGTTCTGACAACAGCGATATGCTAATGTCTAAACACAGACATGTGAAGCTAATCTAGAATGGCCATAAATGTTCATGTGCACCAGCATTAGCTTAAATAGCTTAAAAAGTGCTAAAATACTATTGCAAATCCTATAGGAAAGCTAGCAGAAATTAGCATTCTCATTCTCATCCTTTTTGATTTTTATGGCCCGAACTAAAGGTCTGATTCGCCACTGCTGACACTGTATGACATGACTGTTACCAATAAACATGAACAGAGTTCTGTACTTTTGTCTGTTTTTATATTCGTTTTTTGTGTTTTTCAGGTTGCTGCAGGTGCGACAGGTCTGGCCCAGAGAGCGCTGGATGAGGCCACCAAGTATGCCTTAGAGAGAAAGACTTTCGGCAGGCTTATTGCTGATGTACGTGAACTTTATTATGCCCTGCTTATTAATCCTGTTTATGCATCTATTATTTATAATAGACACTTCACTCCTGAGGGGTTTGTTAATGAGCTGAAGGGTGAACCAGGTGCCAGAGCACTAAACTGTACTGTAGACTTCAGGTGTGGAATTGGACGTTAAAGTACTATGTAAATTGAAATGAAAAATAAATCTAAAATCTAAAAATCCCTTTATTTAGCCTAGTGCCCTGAAGCCCCCCCTTAGACATAGAAGCCATATCGCCCCCTACACTTCCTGTAGTGTATTACAGTCTGTCAGAGTGTCTGTGTGGATCATATGAACATTATAGAGGCTTTTTAAATGAAACAGTAGAAGCCATATCGCCCCCTACACTTCCTGTAGTGCATTACAGTCTGTCAGAGTGACTGTGTGGATCATATGAACATTATAGGGAGTATTAATGAGGCTATTTTGGATACACCCAATGACTTATTTCAGGTAATTATCAAAGGACCTAATTTTCCCCCTTTTTCTCCTGCAGCATCAGGCCGTGTCCTTCATGCTGGCGGAGATGGCCATGAAGGTGGAGCTGGCCAGGCTGGCCTATCAGAGGGCAGCATGGGAGGTGGATGAGGGCAGAAGGAACACTTACTACGCATCCATCGCCAAAGCCTTCGCCGGAGACATCGCCAACCAGGTTGCGACTGATGCCGTCCAGATTTTCGGTGGGAATGGATTCAACAGTGAATACCCTGTGGAGAAACTAATGAGAGACGCAAAGATTTATCAGGTCAGAAAAGAAGTTTTGATGATTTCTTAAAGACTCCATATATATATATATATATAATTTAAGAAGATCAGTCAGGACCCCCACAGGACCACCATATATTTGGGTGGTGGATCATTCTCAGCACTGCAGTAACACTGATGTGGTGGTGGTGGTGTGTTAGTGTGTGTTGTGCTGGTACGAGTGGATCAGACGCAGCAGTGCTGCTGGAGTTTTTAAACACTGTGTCCACTCACTGTCCACTCTATTAGACACTCCTACCTTGTCAGTCCACCTTGTACATGTAAAGTCAGAGACGATAGCTCATCTGCTGCTGCACAGTTTGTGTTGGTCATCCTCTAGTCCTTCATCAGTGGTCACAGGACGCTGCCCACAGGACGCTGTTGGCTGGATATTTTTGGTTGGTGGACTATTCTCAGTCCAGCAGCGACACAGAGGTGTTTAAAAACTCCAGCAGCACTGCTGTGTCTGATCCACTCAGACCAGCACAACACACACTAACACACCACTACCACGTCAGTGTTACTGCAGTGCTGAGAATGATCCACCACCCAAATAGTACCTGCTCTGTGAGGGTCCATGGGGGTCCTGACCACTGAAGAACAGGGTAAAAGGGGGCTAACAAAGTATGCAGAGAAACAGATGGACTACAGTCTGTAACTGTAGAACTACAGAGTGAAACTATATGGTCAGTGGAGCTGATAAGATGGACAGTGCATGTAGATACAAGGAGTGTTCCAGCTTGGACTGTTTTTGAATGAGGTACAGTACAGGGCAGCCAATCAGGAAGAAGCATATTTACATACATGCGTCTTAAAGGCACAGTAACAGAAACAGCCTGTTTAATTCTAAGAGCTCTAAGGTGGAAAAATTATCATGTAAATATGAATTATGATGCTTTTGGTAAATAAAACCACACAAATGTCATACGTGGACAACGGGGGGGGGGTGGTAAACCAAGAAAACTGTAGTAAATGGGCTCTTTAATGCACTAAAATTCTATAATCAGCTGTGACATTTGGTTTCTATTAGAAAACTGAAGTGTTTCTAAAGCATTTAACATTTTTTTTTCTCTCTCTCTTTTTTCAGATTTATGAAGGAACTGCTCAAATCCAAAGGCTCATCATCTCACGAGAGCTTCTTGCGAAATACAAGCAGTGACCATGTCCCGAGGCGTCGCCAGCAGGAGCACTTCTTTAGTTTAAAGGGGTAGTGGGTGGGGTTAACATATTAAATTGGCTCTAAATCATCATCATAATTCATGTTCCGTCGTTTAACATGAGCCGCTGTCCAACGTTTATCACCACAGCTCTCGTTTGTTGTTTATAAAGTGACCTGTCAGTAGCCTGAGTGTTCAGACTGCGTCTTTTTAAGATTGTAAAAATGCCGCAAATATATAACAAACAGTTCAGTTACGATTGCAGTGAGATCTTCCTGCTGTGGAGTGGGGTCTTTCTCTCTTCTGCACCTTTTGCAGGCTCTTCTACACATGAATGGTTTTGATCTGTGAATCTCAGGATTGTCAATAATGCCAATATCGGTTTGCCTTAATCGTGTCGACTCGCCTTGCTCATGTTTTGTATATTACGTAGAACAATTTGGGTTGAACTGAACAAAAAAAAGCATGAAAGGCACAGAACGTGTAACACGTAAGCTTTTCTGTGCCGTCCAAAAAATAAAGAACAATGCAAAAACATCCACTTTGCTGTTTACGTTGTTTTCTGCCACAGTGATGCTATTTTGATGAATGATGACTGAAGTGTTCAGAAATAGGTTACTGGTGTTCCTACATTGTGTGTTTGGTTCTGCTGCGCCTGTTACTGCCAAAAAAAAAGTAATCGGGCTTCCACTGTATAAAAAGGTTCCCAGCAGCAAAACCTTCGGTTTACTGTTTATATTAAAAAGCAGCTGCTTATAAAAGTGTTTATAATGCGGTAATAAGGCACAAACAAGAGTATCCCATCATTTTTTCAGACAAAGGAGTTAGAATAGCCTAAACAATCAGCTAATTAATGTACGGTTAGATGTCTGGATCATGATTCAAGTACACACTAAAAAAAAACATGGTTCTTTAAGGGTTCTTTAGTAAAGAAAATGGTTCTACATAGAAACCATAAACACTCAAAGAATGCTTTGCATGATTAAATAGATCTTTGCATTGTGAAAGAGCTCTTCAGATAGATGGAGAATGTGCTGTAGATGGTTCTATATAGAACCTTTTAAAAAGGGGTTCTATATAGCACCCAAAAGGGTTCCTCTACTGTCATTATGTCAAGCTTATAACAATAGAAGAACCGTTTTGGGTGCTATATAACCCATGCTTTAATCATGATTCTTCAAGGGTTCTTTGGTTAAGAAAATGTTTCTATATAGAAGCATGAACACTCAAAGAACCCTTTGCATGGTTAAATGGTTCTTAAGGGGTTCTATATAGCACCAAAAAGGTTCCTCTATTGTCATGTCAAGCTTGTAACAATAGAAGAACCGTTTTGGGTGCTATGTAACCCATGGTTGCATCGTACACTTTTAAAAAAAGATGGTTCTTTGAGGATTCCTTAGTAAAGAAAGATCTTTGAAGAACCATAAGCACTCAAAGAACCCTTTGCATGATTAAGTAGTTATTTGCATCGTGAAAGCGTTCTTCAGATTGATGGAGAATGTACTGTAGATGGTTCTATATAGCACCAAAAAGGGTTCTGCTGTTGTATACAAGCTTGACATGCATAACAATAGCGGAACCCTTAGCAGAACCCTTTTTGGTGCTATGTAACCCATGCTTTAATAAGTACACTCTTGAAAAACATGGTTCTTTGAGGATTCTTTAGTAAAGAAAATGGTTCTATAGAGAACCCTAAACACTCGTGTTGTAGATGGTTCTATATAGGACTAAAAAGGGTTCTTCTATTGTTACAAGCTTGACATCCATACACTTTTTAAAAAGTGGTTCTTTAAGGGTTCTTTAGTAAAGAAAATGGTTCTATGTAGAACCATAAACACTCAACCCTTTGCATGATTAAAGGGTTCTTCAAGTGCTGTAGATGGTTCTATGTAGAACCTTTTTGAAAAGGGTTCTATATACCACGCAAAACATTTATTGTATTGTTACAAGCTTGACATTGCAATAATAGAGGAACCCCTTTCAAAAAGGTTCACTATAGAACCATCTACAGCATATTCTCAGTCAATCTGAAGAACCATTTCACCATGCAAAGAACCCATAATCATGCATATGATTCTTTGAGTGTTCATGGTTCTATATACAACCATTTTCTTTACTAAAGAACCCTGGGAGAACCATCTTTTTAAGTATGTAGCTTTAAAGTACTTAGTTTGACAACAGTGCACCGATAATAAGATTAAAAGAAACGTTTGGGGGCGGGGCTTTATTTACAGATTCATGTTCATCTTAATGTGTGGTGGTGTTGAGAACCTGGTCAGTCAAACTGGGCACTGTCACTAATAATTCATCAATAAAATCATTACGGTTTATTTTAACTGTTCAGTCAGGCGGAAAAAACGGTTTAGTCATTTATTTTTTTCTAAGTTTTAAATTTTTGTGATCTTTTTGGTCTAAAATAAACTAAATCTCCAAAGTGGGCGGGGCTGGAGATGTTATGTTAATTAAATGGCTGTAAGGGTGCTGCACGTGACTGGCTCCTGGTTTCATAACATTAACCAAATCGCGAAATGTCCCACAAGGGCGCCCGTAGTGACGCGACGCCGCTAGCTTTAGCTTTAGCCGTAGCCGTAGCCGTAGCCGTAACTGTGGACCGGGATGGTGAGTTCTTATCGATTACTGTGATCATTATCGATATTACTACCGTTTAAAACGATCAGATTTTACTGTTCGGGGCTTGAAGATCTGATACACGTTAAAATCTCAAGGTTTCGTGCGGAATTCTTATTCTAATTGCCCGTTCCACCTTAAACGGTGCTGCAGCTGATCTGCTGATGCACGGTTTGTGTTGACCATCCTCTAGTCCTTCATCAGTGGTCAGTTTCCGAACACAGAGCCACTCTGGGCTGGATATTTTTGGGTGGAGGTCCCCTCTCAGCCTCTCGACTTGTGCCAGCACCTCACACACTACTGTGTCAGTGTCGCTGCTGTGCTGAGAGTGGACCGCCACCCTCATAACATCTGGACAACAGCAGCCCTGTGGTCAGAAACTGACCAATGATGAATGAGGTGGAGGGGCTGATACACTGTACAGCACCCACGTAGAGGAGCTATAAGGTAAGTGTTTCTAATAAAGTGGCCAGTGACTGGAAGTACAAGTAGGTGTTTCTAATAAAGTGGCCAGTGAGTGGAAGTACAAGCAGGTGTTTCTAATAAAGAGGGCAGTGAGTGGAAGTACCAGGTGGGTGTTTCTAATAAAGTGGCCAGTGAGTGAAGCAGAAGGTAGGTGTTTCTAATAAAGTGGCCAGTGAGTGGAAGCACAGGGTGAGTGTTTCTAATAAAGTGGCCAGTGAATGAAAGCACAAGGTAGGTGTTTCTAATAAAGTGGCCAGTGAATGGAAGCACAAGGTAGGTGTTTCTAATAAAGAGGGCAGTGAGTGGAAGTACCAGGTGGGTGTTTCTAATAAAGTGGCCAGTGAGTGAAGCAGAAGGTAGGTGTTTCTAATAAAGTGGCCAGTGAGTGGAAGCACAGGGTGAGTGTTTCTAATAAAGTGGCCAGTGAATGAAAGCACAAGGTAGGTGTTTCTAATAAAGTGGCCAGTGAATGGAAGCACAAGGTAGGTGTTTCTAATAAAGTGGCCAGTGAATGGAAGCACAAGGTAGGTGTTTCTAATAAAGTGGCCAGTGAATGAAAGCACAAGGTAGGTGTTTCTAATAAAGTGGCCAGTGAGTGGAAGCACAAGGTAGGAGTTTCTAATAAAGTGGCCAGTTGGTGGAAATAGAAGGTGCGTGTTTCTAATAAAGTGGCCAGTGACTGATTGTGCTAAACTGCTCATTTTGAAGTACCTCATGCTATCCAGACATAAAATTATGTGTTTTCATTTTTTTAGGGGACCCAAATAAAAGACGTGGCCATTAAGCCTGATGCTCCTAATACCCTTCTCCTGGATAAGCATGCTGACTATATTGCTGCTTATGGCTCCAAAAAAGATGATTATGTAAGTAGATGGAACAAGCTAGACAATTTACATTATATTTATATTCAGAGCTGTTAACCTGGCACTTCATATTCATATATATATATATATATATATGTATATGTGTGTGTGTGTGTGTGTGTGTGTGTATATGTGTGTGTGTGTGTGTGATCTCCCACCTACTTTTAATTACCTCAGGCTGATTGACAGTCGTCCTCATCCCTCTCCTCTGTAGGAATATACCCTTTCGGAGTATTTGAGGATGAGTGGTATTTACTGGGGTCTCACTGTGATGGACCTGATGGGTCAGCTTCACCGAATGAACCGAGAGGAGATCACGGACTTCATTAAATCCTGCCAGCACGACTGTGGAGGCATCAGCGCCAGCATCGGCCACGACCCGCACCTGCTCTACACGCTCAGCGCCGTACAGGTTCACATACAGCTTTTACTTAGCGCTGCACAGGATATCACTTGATCGTTATTGAGATATCAGCCTTTCTAATACTGGTAATGTTGAGGCAGTTTGTCAGTAAGTGAGTTCATATACATAATTTTAATAAATAAACAAACAACAAACATAAATAATGTTGGTCAAAATAATACAGGCCAGCCTTTCAAGGTGAATTCTGATGAATTTACAAAATCCCTCCATAACTCAGTGTGTGAGACGTAATCAGAGTGATTCAGAGTGGTTCGGTGTGAAATGGTTCAGATGTCTTTACAGTGGTGGTGATAGGAACCAGGGGTCGCCATGACTACAACACAAATATAGCCATTTTATTTACTATCCAGAACCACCAGTGAACCTACACGAGTCTTCTGAGCTTATATGGAATGTTGATGATGGAAAATAGTGGAAAATCTGTTTTTTTAAAACAGTGTCTCAGTCATCAGGCAGTGAATTCATAACCATTTCATGTAGTAACTTTCTGTGAGGGAGCTTTTAGAGGTGGACGTCTGGTTCCTATCACCACCACTGTGAACAGTTCTGACTCTGTAAGTTTCTCTAGAACAGAGCGTTTCACACCAAACCACTCTGAATGACTCTGTTTACATCTTAACCACCTGATTATGTAAATTTTGATAAATCAGTGGAATTTCCTTTTAACCATGTCAAATTCTTGGCTAACCAATGCAGTTTAAATATTTTATAAGGCATATTGTGATTGCAGTGTCTAGCATTCTAATCACAACACCCACACTGACTATTAATGAACTCTTCAAAAGTCAGAAAGCAGGCGTGTCTCTCAGTTTAGTGTCTTCTCTGCTTAAAAACACCAGCTTCAGCTCATTAGCTTGATAATGAGTTAAAATCAGTACACTGTGCAGGACTGTACATCCATGCTTTAATGCAAACATAACATGTAGATTAACCCCTTTAGAAGCTGCAGTAATAACAAAGGAAGGCTGTAATTTTCTGTTAATGATTTCTTACTCGTATCTCATGAGTGCAAGTAGAGAAATTGTGTGGAAAGTGCAGATTCTAAACTTTTAATCCTTACCACAAACGTGTTTGTAAGTGAAAGAGGAGATGATATGATGTGCTCTGTTACAGCCATATGCAAAAAATACCACTGGTCAAATTCCAGGTTTTGTTGAGTTAAACATACAGCTTTTACTTAGCGCTGCACAGGTTATCACTTGATCGTTATTGAGATATCAGCCTTTCTAATACTGATATTGTCAAGGCAGTTTGTCAGTAAGTGAGTTCATATACATACCTTTAATAAATAAACACACAACAAACATAAATAATGTTGGTCAAAATAATACAGGCCAGACTTTCAAGGTGAATTCTGATGAATTTACAAAATTACTCCATAATTCAGTGTGAGATGTAAACAGAGGGATTCAGAGTGGTTTGGTGAAAGTGCAGATTCTAAACGTTTAATCCTGACCACAAACGTGTTTGTAAGTGAAAGAGGAGATGATATGATGTGCACTGTTACAGTCATATGCAAAAAATACCACTGGTCAAATTCCAGGTTTGGTTGAGTTAAAAATTAGTTACCACATCCTCTACAGAGAACACATTTTTTCTGCACATTTTATTGCACAATTTTTATTTATTTGCTGAGTTATTGGAAAACAAAATATAACGTGCCATAATTTTTGCACAGGCCACATTACATTTTGTTTTATGTTTACTTCAATATGTTAAATTCAGTAAATAAACAGTAATTGTGTATTAAAGTGTACAGTAGTACCCCATAGTGGATGTGTTCACTTATTTACACTCAGAAAATCGACATGGAATTTGACCAGAGGTGCACAAACTTTTACATACGACTGCATATCTGTGTGGTTAAACAGAACTGCTAAATCAGAAGTGTTGAATCTTCTTCCCCATGAGGCCCCCTTCTTAGATTTTCTGAGAACACGCACAACACAAACAAATATGTCACTGTGCAAAATACTGCAGTGTGTACTTGGGAAAAACTGGGTTCTTTTGGAAATGAACCTTTGGAAAAGTGGTGAACTGACCTTTCGCTGCATGACACAAGTTATTATGAACTTTAACATTTACTAAATTAGATTGTGAAAAATAAGACAATACAGATCACAAAAATAAAAAAACAGTCTTGCAACAGTTTACATGAACTTGAGTAATAAGATAAGAGGGAAACTCTACATGAGTCAGACAGTAATCAGATTTCTGCTTTACCAGCCAAATTAACCACAGAAAAAGTTGTGATGTAAACATAACATAAAACTCATTCATGTTGTGTTTTTTTTTAAAGCATTGCGCCACTATACCTAAAAACACGACTGTATGTCATCTAGAAGATGAAAAATATTTAAATCCTTAATTTTGTCAAGCATGTAGTCGGTTTCAGCATCGCTCCAAAAGTGTTTTGCTCACTTATTTCCGGTACCGCCGTCTGTTTTCGCACATGCTCAGACTGAGAAATCCGAAAGAAATCAGATTAAGAGTTTACAGCACTGAGAAATCTGATTACTGAGCTAAAATCCAGCCTCTTTATCAGATTTCTTAATCGGATTTCCAGACCTTAGTCCATTCTAAGAAATCAGAGTGTACAAGACCATTTGAATAATCAGATAACTGCAGAAATCTGATTATGATCAGATTATTGAGTGCATGTAAACAAACTCACTGACTGGACTTTATTGCTTTGTTTTCCAGATCTTGACACTGTATGACAATGTTAAAGCCATCGATGTGGACAAGGTTGTGGATTATGTGAGAGGACTTCAGCAGGAGGATGGGTCGTTTGCAGGAGACAAATGGGGTAATTTTTTACAGCTGATATTTATTTACACTGTCTGTTAAAACCTTTTGGGACTATGCATCACTTTGGTTTTAACACTATTGCTGTGTCTGTTCTCTTGTAGGGGAAATAGATACCAGGTTTTCCTTCTGTGCAGTTGCAACTCTGGCATTGCTGGTAAGACCTTCTGGCTTCTTAGTGCAGATTTTAGCTATGAGAGCATTAGTGAGGTCAGGTAATAATGTTGGATGGTCAGTTCTGGATCACTCCAACTCATCCCAAAGGCATTGGATGGAGCTCCATCACTCCAGAGAACACAGTTCCACTGCTCCACAGCCCAATGCTGGGGGGCTTTATACCCTTGGCATTGGACATTGTTTCATGTGCATCTGCTCCAGAGCGTCCCATTCTATGGTCAGTGCATTTCTATGGAGATGGAGATTATAGAAGCTGATTATAGATTGTCTGTGTGTGTTTTCAGGGCAGATTGGATGCTATTGATGTGGACAAGGCCGTGGAGTTCGTTTTGTCCTGTATGAACTTTGATGGAGGTTTCGGCTGTAGGCCTGGCTCAGAATCTCACGCTGGACAGGTGAGGCCTCGCTAATGATTGTTCATATTATAATACTCCTGTTTTTCCACACTCTCCTAAGGTGTATCCCAATATGCACACAGGACTGCATTTTGCATATAAATCATTCATAAATCATTCATATGGAGTCACTGTAGCAGTTATGGGCATCAAAATTAAGGATGCAACGATCCGACTTTTTCCTCCTGATACCTGAACCCCTTTGAGGATGTGAACGATAAAGATTACTGATCTGATTTTGCCTGCTGGACAAGTATTTCATAGTTGATCTTATTCATCTAACTTGTTTTAGGGCTATGAAGTCTAACTTTTCACTGTAGACGTCTTAACTATCACCTTATTATCTCAAAAATCTCCCAAAAATCTGATAAGTTTACTTCTTTTTAGTCTACACTGATCAGGTGTAACATTATGACCACCTCCTTGTTTCTACGCTCATTGTCCATTTTATCAGCTCCACTTACTATATAGGTGCACTTTGTAGTTCTACAGTTACAGACTGTAGTCCATCTGTTTCTCTGATACTTTGTTAGCCCCCTTTTACCCTGTTCTTCAGTGGTCAGGACCCCCATGGACCCTCACAGAGCAGGTACTATTTGGGTGGTGGATCATTCTCAGCACTGCAGTAACACTGACGTGGTGGTGGTGTGTTAGTGTGTGTTGCGCTGGTGCGGGTGGATCAGACACAGCAGTGCTGCTGGAGTTTTTGACCTGAAAAATAAAGGAATAGTTTAGTGAAAAATTAACTTTATCCTCTTTTCCATTTACACCAGATATAGCTGATCGGCTGGGACGTGGTTGGTGTCCAAATTTTGCCCCTATAGTTTAGTGCTGGAGCTACGAGGCTAATGCTGCAAAACAAATACCAGAAGTCAACAGTCACTTAAATCTTTTCTGTAAGATTTTTTTAAGGTCTTCTTTAAGGTCATACAGACTTGCTGACTTGTAAGACTTACACTGTCTGTGTTTACATGCAAAGATTTTAGCCAATCCGATTTAATACATTCCGATCACAGATTAAGACTGAGGTGTTTATTCTCACTCTACTCAGCAGTCTAATTGAAAGTCTTTGTTTACATGCTCACTACAAGTAATCCGATCCAAAATTACGCGCATGCGTAGAGAACCGCTTAGTGTAGACGTTACCATGACAACCAGCATCACGTGAGTCCAGTCAGAGTGAGATGAGCAGCAGTGAGCAGCGCTTGTGTTTTAATTGCTTTAAAATGATGTCAGACTCAGGAAAACGTCCTTCACATGTCCTTATTAAAGAAGGCCGAGAGGAAGACGTCGTGCTCTGAGACACATAAGCTGGACGTCCGTCCCACCGCCGTCTTTTAAAGATCAGAGCATAAACTTCGTCTCCTCTGCAGACCAGTTTCTGCTTCGCCATGATGAACAGTATAAACTTTCACTATGACGCGACGAACATGATCAGAACAGACTTAAACTTTCAGATTGAGGTGTTTACATGGACGTGTTCTATTCTGATGGAGCTATTAGTTGGATTATAAACAGATTATTAGGCTGCATGTAAACATGGCTACTGAGTTTTGACTGTACCTGTACCTGTTTCTACAGATTTACTGTTGTACGGGGTTCCTGTCCATCACCGGTCAGCTCCATCAGGTCAACGCTGATCTGCTGGGATGGTGGCTCTGTGAGAGACAGCTTCCGTCTGGAGGCCTCAACGGCAGACCAGAGAAGGTAAGATACAAAAGGGGGGGGAATTTAAGGGGCCATTTCCTGGATTTTTTTTTTCTTGGCTCTTTTGAAACGAGGCCTCAGCATACTTCTTGCGGAGACGATGTTCGTCTGACTTCAGCGAACAATATGACCTAATTACGGAGAAAACAAGCAACCGCAGACGTCGCACGGAGGCTTTGTTCGCCGTGTCGCGCACATGGCAGCTGGGCGAACTCCATGGATGAAGACGCTACACAACAGAGCCCCTGATTGGTCAGTAAAAGAAGAGGCGTGCCGTTAAACAAAGTTGGACAACTTTGAGGAGCCTCGGCTTTGGCAGACACACTAATATTTCACTGAAACGTGCATTTGTTAAATAAACAATGAATATCTCCTAAATGTAAGAGGTTAAGTCTGTTGTTTGGTAGTACTCAGCACCAAAACATACAGGTTATCTTATATGTAGGTTCTCAAGAGGACGAGGCTGAAGTTGGCTTCCTATTCACCAGCTTCGTGTTCTAATTTCCCCGTTCCACCTTAAATGGTGGCAGCATTCTGAACTCAAACGTCGCCGTAGTTAGAACTGTGAACGAATCGTTTTCCAGCAGTCATGAAACTAATCATAACATGTCATAGCGTCACGTGGAGCGTCCACGACAGGCAACACCACACCACAGAAAGTATGAGAGCTTATAAGGCGTTTCCGGCTTCGCACAACCCTCGAGAATTTCGTTTCGCAAGAAGTACGCTGAGGCCTTAACGTCACAAACGCTAAGATACTTCGAACGACTGCACATACAGCCAATAGCAGTTTAGCTCCTCCCTTTCAGCCTCCAGTAGTTTAGCCCCGCCCATTCAACCTACAGCACGTTAGCCCCGTCCGTCCACCTTAAAGTGATGCAGAGTGTTGCTCCCGCACAGTTACTGGAGGGGAAGATGTGGGAAAATGATCAAACTGGGCTGTTCTTAACAGTTTGTTCCACATTTCAGTCCACACTGCTTAGTGAGGCACAATACAGGGCAGCCAATCAGAGCAAAGGTCATTTACATATAACAGTCTTAAGGACATCCATTGTTGGATATAGAGAGGTTGGAGAGATGAATTATAACTGCATTAGAACATAATAAAGAAAAAAAAAAGATTGAATTAATTAGTGTTCGACTGAAGCACGTGTGTCTTTCTCGTAAGCTGCAATTGGTGACTTTGTATTTGCCTTCAGTTGCCAGATGTGTGCTACTCGTGGTGGGTTCTCGCGGCATTAAAGATCATCGGCAGAATTCACTGGATTGACAAAGCCAAGCTGAGGACGTTTATCCTGGCCTGTCAGGACGAGGAGACGGGCGGATTTGCTGACAGACCAGGAGACATGGTAACCTTCGAATAATGGACTGAGCTTAGAACGTCTAGTCTGTACATTAGGACCGGTATCACCAGGACTAGAGAGCCGGCACTCTGCGGAACTCACCTCCACTGAGTATAATTAGTCATTTGAATTATATTAATACATATTATAAAACACCTTTAATCCCATATCCCATTGAAAATGATCAACACTACACACTTAAAAATGATGTTTTTTTAAGGGTTCTTTAGTAAAGAAAATGGTTCTGTATAGAGCCATCAACACTCCAGGAGCCCTCTGCATGATTAAAGGGTTCTTTGTATCACTGAAAAGTTCTTCTTCAAATTGAGGGAGAACGTGCTGTAGATGGTTCTATATAGAATCTTTTTGAAAATGGTTCTGTAGCACCAAAAAGTGTTGTTCTGTTGTTAAGATGGTGGTTATTTGCGTCATGAAAGGGTTCTTCAGATTGATGGACAAGGTGCTGTAGATAGTTCTTTGAAGAACCTGTTTTAAAAGCGTTCTTCTATTGTTACATTGTCAAGCTTGTCATAATAGAAGAACCTTTTCTGGTGCTCAAAAAGGTTCTATACAGAACCACATACGGCTCATTCTCCATCAACTTAAGAACTCCTTCATGATGCATAGAACCCTTTAATCATGCAAAGGGTTCTCTAAGTGTTCATGATTCTGTATAGAACCATTTTCTTTACTAAAGAACCCTTGAAGAACCATCATTTTAAGTGTGTACTTTAAGTAATGATTCCATGCATTAGTGGTAGTTACTGTATCAGTTGCATTTCTTAAAGGGGAACTCCACTGAATTTTCCAAAATTTCTGTATAGTTCAGTGTGTGAGCTGTAATCAGAGAGATTCAGAGTGGTTTGGTGTGAAATGGTTCAGATGTCTTTACAGTGGTGGTGATAGGAACCAGGGGTCGCCATGACTACAACACAAATATAGACATTTTATTTACTATCCAGAACCACCAGTGAACCTACTGAGTTTATATGGAATGTTGATGATGGAAAATAGTGGAAAATCTGAAATAATACGTTTTCTTTGGGGACTATTTTGTCTCACAGTGAATGACTTGATTTTAAAAATAATTTTAATTTCAAAACCTTCTCAAACATGGTTGTCTGGTTCCTATCACCACCACTATGAACAATCCTGACTCGGTTAGTTTCTCTAGAACAGAGCGTTTCACACCAAACCACTCTGAACCACTCTGTTTTTTAAATCTTAACCAGTTAATTATGCAGATTTAAAAAAGTAGAATTTGAAATCTTAATTTAAATGAAATATAAATTAATGTTTTTTCCTTCCCTGTCCAGGTTGATCCTTTCCACACACTGTTCGGTGTAGCTGGTCTGTCTCTTCTTGGAGATGAGCAGATAAAGCCGGTGAACCCGGTCTTCTGCATGCCTGAGGACGTTCTCCAGAGGATCGGCCTCCAGCCTGACCTGCTGAGCTAAAGCTGGAGACCAGAGAGGTCACAGGATCACAGCGCTGTACAGTTTAGAGTTTTCTCTGCTTTAGCAAAGCTGATTCAACTCATTAAAGGTTTCACAATGACCAGATAAGTTGCATTAGACTCAATAAATCAGGGAAAATGATCATCTGTGCAGAGCTGTGGTTCTGAATAGACTTGTGTGGGTGCTGAACCCATTCTGGCAACCACTTCTGCTGCAGTTCGACTGCTGAAGGTCCTGTGGATCACTGACTGCTGGGGGAACCAATGGTTAAAAGAAAGCTTTAGGTATTGCTGTTGAGATCCATTCCTGGAGAGCCAGATTACTGCATAGTTTCATTTTTAACCACTTCTAGCACATCAATTTAGCTTTTGAAGGACTTTAACTTTCCATGCTCTGCCCACAAATACATTCTCATAGTTACTGTTTTGACATTGGACAAGATGTACAAAATGATGGCAACCTCAGTTCATATCACAATACCTACATTTAGAGTCGGTTATTCATTCAGCCTAATGAGAAACTGTAGAACAGACTCAGTTTATATCACAATACCTACATTTAGAGTCGGTTATTCATTCAGCCTAATGAGAAACTGTAGAACAGACTCAGTTTATATCACAATACCTACATTTAGAGTCAGTTATTCATTCGACCTAATGAGAAACTGTAGAACAGACTCAGTTTATATCACAATACCTACATTTAGAGTCGGTTATTCATTCAGCCTAATGAGAAACTGTAGAACAGACTCAGTTTATATCACAAAATCCGATTTAAGCTCCCAGATTCAATCTGGATTTGCCATTAATCAGATCTGGGCCGGCAGTCTGAACAAGGCCTTAGTGGCTGCTTGAATCCGTTCCACCTCGAGTGGAGCAGCACATTCTCCATTTAAGGAGGAATGGGAAGTCGCGTAAGCAGCTAAGTTCAGCTTTGCGTTTTCTTCTCGCGCTGGTAGCTGACATATTTGAGTGATGTCATCACAATTGAGCTCAGCGTAGTTGTATCCGACACTCGGGTTGGGTGATGTCTGTCTGCTAATCGCTGCTGTACTCGACTGGGAAACCAAAGTGTTTCCAAACGGGAGATGAAAGCGAGGGCGATTTCAGTTGTTCCAGCTGAAATTTGCTCTCGCTTCTCAGCCTTTTGGCTAAGATCAAGTGTGGTATCTGTTCTTATCAGTTTAATATCCTCTATATGAGGACTAGATATTAAATTGATTTTTAGAACAGGGAGACGAGCTTGCTCCGTCCGCTCCACACATAGACCTGGTATTGCAGTACCTCCGGGAAGGGTGCACTTCCTTAGGGGCGGTCGTGGACCGGAGGTTAGGGAACCAGCCTTGTGACCGGAAGGTCGCCGGTTTGATCCCCTGAGCTGACAGTGCATGATTGAAGTGCCCTTGAGCAAGACACCTAACCCCCAACTGCTCCCCGGGCACCATGGACGGGGCTGCCCTCCAGGCAGTGTGCTCACTGCCCCCTAGTGTGTGTTCACTAGTGTGCATGTGGTGTTTCACTGCACGGATGAGTCTAGTTCCTCTGTGTGCAAACACAGTTGGCTAATGGTTCTGAATTTAATTCAGTTCGATTCAGATTTGCTCTCTCTGCTCACCATTTCAAACAGCTCGGCTAAAAAAAACGACTATTCCTGTATTGTTCCATTTTATAGCAAGGAACCTCACTGTATTCCGTTGACAGCGCCGCTTGTATGAATATTAACGTGTTTCGTGACACCCCGACTGTTTACGGTACTATTGTTCAACTTGTTCCTTAAGGTTTTTAACTCTTTCTGTAGAAATCCAGAAACGTGCAGTGCAATGCAAAATCTTAGAAAATGATGTGTAAAACTTATTTCTTCAAAAAACACACTAAAACTAGAATAAATACAAATACATTTTAAAAATCCTCTGTGACTTTGTCAATTTTTCAAAACTCTCCTCGAGAGACTTCAGTATTTACAGTTACCAGTGACTTTACTCAAAGCGTTCTTGTTTAAGGGCGTAACTTTGGCGTTGAGCATTGGCATGGTTGAGTGGGGGTCCGGGGGGCATGCAGCCACTAGAAACCAAAATCAAAAAGCTATTAAACAGCTTCTGGAAATATACGTTTATTATGATCGGCGCAAGTTTGTTCAAACCTGAGGAGGGGCCAACCGAATCTGTATTCTTACAATAATATTAGTAATAATTGTACTGTATTCATGTTTATCTGTGTTCATTCTAATATTATATCACTGCTGTTGGAACAAAACCTTGTATCTTTATTTTTGTCGTTTTTCAGGTTTTGACATAATTTGAAAAGGCCCACTGTCCTTTACTTTGTGTGTAAATTTCCTGATGAATGGACCAAAAGAAACAACCCAAAATGACGTGCAAAGACAGCTGGTTCCATTGACTTACATTGAAAGTAAAGTAGGTTTTTTCCTTCTCCTGTAAAGTTACTGTTTTGAAGATATAAGGTTTTGTCCCAACAGCAGCGATTGTATTGTTTTTTGCTAGCAGAAACACTGACTGCCCAGATAAATCGCTTTAAACCATTTTCTTCGCTGGCTAAAATGCAGTCCTACATATTTTACAGAGATGTAAGGCACTCGTGTCTCTAAAGCCCTCGTCTGTTTCTCTGAACTAACAGAGGGGGAAAAAAACAAACAAGACGATAACGCCACCTGTAGGTGTGTCTAAGGCATGGATCAACCTGCCCTTTAACACCACAGAGAGTCTCCCTGTCAGTCAGTTACACGTCTCTAAGGGATACCCCAGCATTTTCGACCCAGGTTCTGTCTGCTGCGTCTGTAGCGTGCGGTCAGTTACCTCTTCACACTTCCCTGTGTTTGTATTAGGGTCACTCAAACAGCAGAAATGAGGAAAACAACACGCTAAACACTGAAGTTAACAAGATACTTAACAATCTAGACACGTTACCACAGTTTGGCTTATTTTCTCTGACTGAAAAATGGAAAATGTGTCAGACGAATTTAGTTTTCATTATGATTTTGTTTGATAACTGAGGTAACAGTTATGCTAAAACTAGCTTGGTTGTATTTGTACAGTGGTGGACGAAGTACACAAACCATGTACCTGAGTTAAAGTAGAGACACCCAAGGTAAAATATTACTCCAGTAAAAGTAGAAGTTCCTCCCTTTAGACCTCCACTTGAGTAAAAGTAGTGAAGTATTCACCTTCAAATGTACTTAAGTATCAAAAGTAAAAGTACTAAAAGATTAATTATGACTTTAATGTCCTGTTATCATTTTTATAACAAGACTCGCTTCATTAACTCATTTTAGGTGAAAATACTCCAGTGTCTCTCTTGGTAAACCAGTCTTTTAATAGAGTCATTAATTAGTGACGCTGATGTCTATTAAAATTATCATCAGCACAAAACACTGAAGGCAAACAGTTTCCATCAGGTAGAACTGAGTGGCTCTGAAATCACTTTTTACAAACAAGCAAAGTTTCAGTTTAAGATTTATTTGAACTCAGTTACAAGTTTAAGATTAATAAAAACTTTAAACTCAGATTCACAAATGAGTTTCCTTTACTAAACTGCATCTGTAGGTCTCTGTTCATAAACATAAACTAGCCAAAACTAATTTACTATAAAATGAAAGTGTTTGTATAAATTCAGAATAAAGACACGTCAGTCACAACTGCATATGAGTACATATCTCTATATTGTGGTCTGTTTACACAAAGTTAGGTTAGTTCATCATTTATGTTGAATAGACTCTCCCAGAATTTTACGCTGCTGCGCTGATGTTGAACCGTGTGCTGCACTGGGTCGGTATGACCAACAGGTCAAAACAAGCTCAAAACAAAGTGACTTTTTTTTTGTATTAGTCTGTAGATCAGGGACTAGGCTAGCTGCCATGATTAAGTGACACCACAGGGATTCCCAGTGGTTCGATATGGATTTGTGTAATGCATGATGGGGATTGTAGTGAGAGAACAGTGTCAAACTGATGAGGCTGAGGGATTTAAGGCCCTGCTACAACAAATGTCATAATTAACATGTTTAGGCCAGAATAGTCCTTTAAATTCACCTCTTAATAAAATATACACTACATGTAGAATAGTATTGCAATGAAGGCGATGAGAAATAGACGATGGTTAAAGTTAGGGCTGCACAATATGTTGTTTATTAATCTGTATCACAATACTGGTTTGGCAATAGTATCACAGAGCAGTATGCAAAATATGCAAATAAGCCCTCTAACCAACCATAGTTTTTAATACGTGCTATCATTATTATGGTGGTCATAATAATCCAAGCTGATCTTTATCCATGCTGCCTTATTTATGTTACTGTTTGTGTTCTTAATATGCAGCAAGGTATGCTGTAATCCGTAGCAGTCTAATCACAATACTGAACTGTGACAGTAGTGTTTAATCAGCCAGTTTGTCTGCAGATCCTCCATTCGGTCATGAGTGAAAACAGGGACTCTGGTCTCTCTGGGGGCTGAGAAGCCGGATGAGTGTGTGTGCGTGTGTGTATGTCAGGGCACATGCTTTCTGAGGACCTAACCTGCAAAAACAACAGACCCTCAGTATCGGTACATTGGGTCAGCATGTACCAAAGAGTCCAACTCTGGAGTCCGCCGGTCATCTCCGAAGAAGTAATGGGAGGATATGGCCACGGAGATGATGCTCTTTTCATCCGAAGGGTCAGGAGGTGGCTTAGGAATATATGTATGTATGTATGTATATATCAGTTATAGAGAGCATGTAAACAACAACAACCACCAGCGTAGAGTTACTGCAATATTTATATATAATATATATATCATTTTATATAATATGTGTGTGTGTATATGTATATGTATGTGTGTGTGTGTATGTATGTATATATATATATATATATATATATGATCCAACACCCAAATAGTACCTGCTCTGTGAGGGTCCATGGGGGTCCTGACCACTGAAGAATAGGGTAAAAGAGGGCTAACAAAGTATCAGAGAAACAGATGGACTACAGTGTACAGTATAATAGGCTGCTGTCCAGTCAGCTGCCTGTTATTGTATGCAGTAACTCTACACTGGTGGTTGTTGTTGTTTACATGCTCTCTATAACTGATCTTATTTGATGATCCAAGCAC